AATATGTCAAATAGATGGATGATATCAGATCCACTTATACAGTGTGATTTTACATTGATATAAAATTCTTGGATTAATAGAAATCAACATCCGAGATTTTTCGAGAGCTTTAATTTTTTGATTTTGAATTCGAATCGAACTTGATAATTTTAAAGTCACAAACTTTTGAGTTGAATCGAATTCACTGTTCAAGTCGAATTGAGTTCAATTATACTCCAACTCCGTCCGTTTATAGCAGTAGTATGTATAATAAAGCTACGAATACTACTTCTAAAGTTTGATATAAAGAAAAACAGCTAATTTTATTGGTTTGATTAACCCGATCAATGAAGATTAACTTCAAATTTCCAAACATAGATGCCCTTTTCACAAATTGAAAGTTATCTTTTAAATTGAATAAACACAAAATATTATAGACTAAATCCCTTAAAAGAAATACCTGATCCATTCCAGCAGGTAAAGGCTGAGCAATGAAAGTGGGAATCTCATCCATGTACTTGTCAGGTTTACCGGAGTGCAAAATCCTAGTGAACCCACCCCTTTCTGAATTGGGTCCATCCTTGTGCTTCTTGAACCAGTAATACATGACCCGGCACTGCCAAGTGTTGTAAGAGTCAGAAGCCGTCACCGCCGTGTGAAACAACCTTCTCCCTGCATTTGACCCGTGTTTTCTCGATTTCTCTACCGGCATCTTGATTACAGGGTCAATGATTGATGATGATCTTGAAGGCCCGGGAAGCTCTTGCTTTAGAGAAGCATTGGCTGAGATGAGGATGTTGTAGGTGATTAGAGCCACTGATAAGGATATAATCAATGCAAAGAATACATTCCCAAACCCCATTTTTTCAGCCTATTGCCTCAAGAGCTCTCCCCGGTTCTATCTTTTTTATTACTTTTATTTATGGGACGCGGAGAAGGGCAGCCTGAGTGAGTAATGGAGAGGCGACAGGTAGTGACGGAAGCCGCCGATAGCGGTGGCCGAATTTGGGAAGGTGAAGGGTGACATGAAGAAAGTCGTCGTTTCGACTATAGAAAGACGTTGTCAGAGTAGAGTGGTTGAAGAAAAGTTCGCTTCCTATAAAATGAATATAATATTTACATTTGCGTTCACGTTGTATTTTTATTTATTTTTTTGAATAATAATAATACTTTTTGAATTTTTATATTTCCATTATTGGCTGTACAAGTTATCTGTGTCCGCACTAGGAATGCCCGGATGAGCGACCCCAACGTCACGGTTCCGGTTCGATCGATTTTATTAAGTTTTTTAAAAATTAGGTTCAACTCTAATCGAACTTTTTAAACTATAAGTTTCGAATTTAGTATAATATTTTAGATTTAAAATCCAAAAAATAATATAATTACATCTTATATATTTAGTGATAATTACAATAATATTTCTCTATATTGTTTTTTCGATTGAACTCCTATCTTATTGAATAAAGTTAAATATATTTATAACAAAAAAAATTAAATATATATAAATATATATATGAGTTAGGATCTACTTATATAATGTAACATTTTTTTAGTTCTCCTATCTTATTTTTCTTCAATGAATATTTTTTTCATTTCCTATTATTAACCTCAGCCGTTTATTTTCACTTATCCAATAATTTTAAATATGTATAAAACTAACAGAGTTTTACGTTGTACAATAAGATCCTATCCTTATATATATTTACTTATGTTGGATCAAGTCGGACTGAGTCAAATGTAGGGTTTATAATAAGAGACATATCAGGTTTTGGATCGGGTAAAATTACCCTAAATCTTGTCAAATCAAGTTTCAAGTGGAGGGGTTATTTTTACCGAGTCATGTGGATTGATCGAAAATCCGGCACATCCCTTACCATGTCCATCCCTAATCTGCATAGAATTCTATTACTCATCACATGCCAATTTCTTTCAGCCCACACTAAACCCAACTTACCCGAGACCCAAAACAGTAGCCTCTGCCTAAATTAAACCCGTGAATCCAATTTGTCCAAACCCTCAAACTTTCGGACTCGAAAAAAATTGACCCAACCCTGAGTCAACCTAAAATCTTGACCCGGGTCCAAATTGAGCCCCACCAAACCTTACATATGTAACCTCCAGTCTCCAAACCAAATTCCACCAGCAACCCCTAAAAAAATCCCATCTTTACAAAGGCATAGTTTGATCTATCCCTTATCCCTAACCACCACTGACCCTATCTCTCAACAATCTCTCACCATGACTCTCATCTCAAGCCTTTGGACTACTATCAAGATTATCGGTCATAATAAATCTATATTTAAAACAAACAAAAGAAACATCGTCAAGATCTTAATCTTAAAAAAAAGTATATCTAAACCTACATGCATGTATCCGTCGATTCTTATTACAACTAATCAATTGATCTTAAGATAAACTAAACTTAAATTTTGATACCATTAAATAAAAATCCTAAAGTCGATTCGTAAATTTTAATAAACCTAAGATGCCATGCTAAACCATCATAATGTCTCCGACTTTGATTCAAAAATACTCCCGTTTAAGATTAATGGTGTTTCAAAATAAAACATTAATAATTATGAAATAAATAATAAATAGTATGTCTCGTTTGTATAAAAATAAGAGTTTCGTAATACAACATTTTTCTAAATCAAAACAACACGAAATAAAAGTATTGATGCCATAATTACGTACATGTACTAGTAAGTTTCTATTGATACAAATCCCCGTTAAAAAAACAAGAGTATAAAAAATGATGAAGATTCCCTCATTGATGGTGCTCCTGGATACAACTAGTTATTTAATTATTGTTATTTATTAAAATTCATCATAATTATTGATCGTTAATTACGTGCTATTAGAAGATGCCAAGTCAGTATCATTATTAATTTTTTTAATGGTTGATGATCAAAATGTAATATTTATATTTAAATTTTTAAATATAATTAAATGATCAAAATAAAAACTATATAATTGATGGGTAATCAGGTAGGTAATTTACTCAAAATTTTAGAAGGAAAATAGTGCAAAGATTCAATATCTCAAAGTTAAAATATATCGACTTTATTTTAAGATGTATTTAAACTTTTTAAAAGAAAGTCAAAAAAACCAAAAACTCGAATTGAATATGGAAAACAGTAATCAAATAAAGGAGGAGGAGAAGAGGGTGGACGGCGGGCATCGAGTCCACATGGCCTGCCTCGTGGGCTATGCGTGCGTGCATGCATCGACTCCTCAGTCGGGAACTGTTGTTTTTGACATACATGGATGCCACGTTTCAGTTGTTAACTCGTGATCCCAAAACGCACCGAAATTACAAATGCCCGAATGCATTTCACCTTTCACTTGAATGCGCCTTTTTTTATCGTTATTTAATTAATGACGTGTAAAAAGAATAAAGCGGCGTGGTCCGTTGAATCCTTATCCTCAATCCACGCATTGCCTACGCTCTCTCTTCCACTTTTAACTCCTTTTTCAAACCCACTTGTCGCCAGTGACCAAACGTAACTCGGTATTAACTAGAAAACCAGTTGCCAGCAGTAGAACGCACTCACCCACGGTTTCTTTTTAAATATTGTGTCGTCACTCTCGACCGTAACTGCCACCAAAATCGGATCCTTATCCGTCTCTTTATCTTCTCTATATATACTACCAACGCTTCTCTCATCATCACCGTTTCCAAACTCACATCAGAACTAAAGTACAAACGCACTTGCAATTTCTCATCCCAAACAGAGTCACTGAAAGAGAAGATGAGGTCTTCCATTTGTTGTTTCCGTCCGATGGCGCCAGGCGGAGCCGGTTTCGAGCCGTTGGGGGAGGTGAAGTCGTCGAGGACGCCGAGATCGCCTTGCATAAAGGAAAAATGCAGGAACCTAATGGCCTGGATCGGGAAAGGTGGCCACCACAAGCACTACGGCTCCTCTGATTTCAGTTACGATCCGTTGAGCTACGCACTGAATTTCGAGGATGAATCGAGCCGAGCTGACGAGTTTCCATTCGTCAATTTCTCGTCGCGGCTTCCAGCTACGCCGGATCGATCGCCGGCTATCAAACACTTGGATGGTACGCCGGTGCCGGTAAGGAGGGAAGTCTATGCGTTCAGTTGAGAGAAAAAACGATGCAATTATATAACTGGATCAGATTAACTGTAATGTTCCAGAGATTCTAATGTACTACGATAGGCTGAACAATTCACCCTGCAAATATTTACATAGATTTGAAATTAAATTGTAAAATTGGTACGGATTATTGGAGTTTTAAGGAAAATTTTTGGAAAAACTTTCTGTAAAATTACCACTAGCACTGTGTGTATGAAAGTAAGGTACTCTCAAAATTACTGAGAGTAATACAGTAAAAATAAGGACAATGTACCGTAGGAATGACAATATTTAGAGACAAACCTTACTAACTGACTTCACATTAAATATGTGAACTCATGGAACAATATTTAGAGTCAAAATTACACTTTGCAAAGTCAAACATGTCTTGAAAGTTAGGATTCTTTAGAATTATATGTGAACTCGTGTAATTACTAAGGTAGTAATTACATTTTCATACAATTACAAGACCATGGTGTTCAAAAACACTTATATATAATGGTAAGGCATGTTATATTCCTAATAAAACAATACTTATTTAAATTTTGAAGATGATATTATTAGAAGAGACAACCTTAGACTTCCATAAACCTTAAACATTAAAATCTTTAGTGCCTTCGTTTTAGCTGTGATGCTCTATTTGCCAATGGCTGTGTTTGTCTACTACTTTGGTTCCACTCTGACTGGGTTGGGTCGGTCCTCAATCTCGCGAGGGTCTCCTCTTTCTCTTAATTGTGGCGACAACGACGACAATGACAGCTGAGTCTATAGTTGTATTTGGGCCTTAGAGCTTTGTGCAATCCTTATATTTTTGTTGGGCCTTTGTGCCTTGTATTTGATCTTGTCTATGAAAAGAAACGTTATTGACAAAGAAAACTCTTTGAAAAACAGCAATTGGTAGATAATTCTAGCACTCCATCATAATCAAATTAGAGTAATTTATGAACACAATTATCATGTATACACTGCTAGACCCTAAATTATTTATGAACACAATCCTTATATTACGCTCTACACTCGCAATCCCTCAGTACACTTGTTCACAAATATATGAAGAGGCCAAAAAACAAAAATCATAATCTGCCAAAGCAAATGGAATTTATCCAATTAAACTTACAACAAAAATAATTCCTAAACTTCTCTCGCAATATTCTTCCATATCCACCACGTGGTACTAAACATGCATGCCGCAGTCGATGCATACCTGCAAAACGGCTTAACTCGGAGTCATCATCGTCAAACAATCGTCTACGTCAGTCGTTTTCTCATGTTCAAGCAAAATCTGATCCTTTCCGGTCTCATTATGTTGGATACAATAACCGAGAAGTGATCTTTGATTGTTCTGGACTCTGTTCCGTTTGCGTGAATCGATCATCCGTTGTTTTCACCTGCATTACTTTACAGGTTCAGATTTTGCATTTGCTGAGCATTTCCTTTTACGTTTGCTCTTCAAGACGGTTGACGTTGATGGATTGCTCTGCCAGTTCCTCTTCCTTTGGTTGATGAACCAATTGTTTATCTGTTTTAATTGTAATCCTGTTTCCTGAACCAACTTTGCCTTATCTTCCTCCTGAAAATTAACATTACCAATATCATTGACCATCAAATTTTCTCAAAGAACTGTTTGTTAAACGCGGTTGACGGTAAACTAGAACTTACAGTAGGGTAAGGCCACTTGGAATGTGACTGCCACCAAGCTTTCAACACTGACATCGTATCTCCGGGAAGTTTTCCGGCCCTTCTCTTACGCAAAATCTCCTCCCTTATGTCAATGATTTTCTCCTTGTAATCCTATTAAGGAAGTTTATGTACCGAGTCAGTAAACATAAGAATCTCTAGGAACCAATAAGTTTCCTCAATTGTACCTGTTTGAGTTCATGTTTGAGCTCATGCCTAACTCGCTCCATCAAAGACCATTCACTCTCTGTTGGGACCAAAGGTCCAAACCCCATTGAATCTAGACCCTCCAAACTTCCATTGAACAAGTTGGCATCGCTATCAACTTGATCGTCATCGTCATCCGACATCGTTGCTCCGGTTCCTTCACTGGGGGAAACGCCTGTTTACGTCACGGAGATTATAACATTTTTCCTCGAATTTGAAAGCAGAGGATTATGGAAAACATGTAAATGCATTTACCTGTTAAGCTTTGTAAGGACTGCTCAATTTCCCAGCAAGACATTACTGCTTCCATTGCGTGGACACGAACATGTTGCTGCAATTGTTCTTTGAATGAACATAGCAGTAGAGCATAATGTGTCTGTATTGGCATGGAAGGAATTGCGCATCTTAATCCAATGAATGAATCACCGGTGTTTAAAGGGATTAATCGAACATTAATATCAAGAAATTTGCTACTGCTTAAAGCCGTAAAAATGAATTCGATTTCAAAGAATACCATGAACTGATCGAGTTCCTTGTCATCGCTAACCAAGCCCTGAGACGCGCCGCCGAGAGCTGAGTATTTAGCCAGGACATGCTGCGACTGAGCCAGCTGAGCGTCGATCCTAGGAAGTTGATCCACTGGCGTGGCTATCCTAAGGCACGCCACGTGTGCAGACAATAGTTTATCGTAAAAAGGGTGAGCGAGTATCTCTGCCTTGTATCTCGCATTCTGCCAATTCACAGCCCCATCTCCGCCCCCACTCTCCACCACTACGCCTTCGCTCTTGTTGTTGTTATTATTATCATTATTCATGGTCTCGCTGATGCTGTTCTTCAAATCACCCGATTCCACGGTCATCATGGAGACCCCACCACCTCCTCCTACTGCAGCTGCCGCAGCGACCTCGTCAATTACGTCGCTTTGGTTTCGGTGAAGAAGCGAAGAGGAAGAACGGGAGAGCATAGAGTTGGGAGCTTGGGTAGCAGCGGTAGAGTCTGAAGCAGTTGTATGAAGGTTAAGAAAGTTAGGGTCGGAGAAGTGACTGTTCGGTTGCGGTGCTTGAGACTGCTGAGGACGGAGGAGGGCGGCGTTTAACCAATTGGGACCGGTTGTTTCCGCTTGTTGCTGCTCGGAAAAGTGATGAAGAGGAAGGTCTTGAGAGAGGTGGCCGTTATGGTGAAACGCCATGTACCCTTTTTTTCCCTCTTTCTCTAAACGTATTCGGAAAAGATATATGGATGAAGACGACGACTATGATTATGAATTCATGATCTGATAAAGAGAGAGGAAACGAAGAAAATGATGAAAAAGACAGCTTCTTCCCCCCCAACCCCCCTTTCTTTTTTACAGTCTCGTCAAGTTAAAGACATAATCTTTGTATACCAAAGTAAAGGTCTTTCGGTTACTGTCAGAAACGTGCCATAGAGAGTTTGAGAGAAAGGGAACAAGAAGAAGAAGGAAATCGGTTTTCAGGTGAAGAAATCAGCTTATTATCATGAAAACAATGGTGGTAGTTCAACCGAAGGCGTGGGGGCCATTTTTTTTTACATTTTTATTTTGATTGCTATTATTGCGGTAAATTTACCTCAATAATGGGATCAGGAAAAAATCTACTTTTATATAATGTATAATAAAATTATTTTTAAAATTAAGATTTTTGTTATATTATTTGAAGAAAATCGTCAGATTTATACATCGATTTCTACAAATCGACAAGATTATACGGCCATTTTTTCAAGCAGATAACGAATAATAACATAATTTTGAATAAAAATCGTCATGTAATCCTGATGATTTTGTATATAGAAATAAATGTAAAATTTTATATTAGAAATTTTAAATATATAAAATTTTAGAAGAAAATAAATTTATAAAATTTTAAATAATGATAATATATTATAAAAAAATATAAAGTTTTAAAAATATATTAAAAAGGTAAAATTTAAAAGACGACTGTCTCCCCCTACAGCTGAATTCATCCTTAACCACGTAATATTAACAGCTTTCACCGGCTATTATAATTTTTTTGTATATTAATCTTTGCTATCGTTAATTAATATAATTAACAATATTAGTCTTTGCTAAATAAACTAGCAATAGTATTTTCTCTTGTCGTTTTTTCTGAAAAGACTAGGTGGGCAGAAAATAGAGGCATGGAAGAAATGCTTGGACCTACAGGGTCGTTGATAGACGGAAACGTACTGTTGATGATTGAATTTGATCTGACGGTTCAGAACTGTCACCGTGGCAATCTCTCTCGCAAGTGGAGGCACTAATAAAATAATTGGGATAATAAAGAAACAAATCCGATCAAATAACATTTATTTTTTTCTAAAATATTTTTCCTTAACATTTTTTGAGTAAATTATCTGGCAGTTTGAAGGAAATCGTTAATTTATTAATGATTCACGTATATTTTTTACGTGAAAAAATTTATATATCTAAAATGGTGATGTAATATATATGTCAGGTATATATAATTGATTACATAATATGTGTCATATGTACATAATTGATAGCATAACACATATAGACATATTATATCACCACTTTAAACACATAATACTTATTACATTAACGATAAATATAAACCATTAATATGTTAATAATTTTCATTCAATTAGAAAATATTTTACATAAAAATAAAAGAAAAATTAAAAGTTAAAATAACTATTATATCAAATATTGTATTACTAAAAATGAAAAACATGTTTACGTACCATACTACCCATACCTGTAAAAGTGCCTTGGAACGACAGTACATTGCCGCATGAAGCACAATGTAGAATCTACTAGCTTAGCCAGTAATCTATCCTTAAAATCAAACTGCAAAAGAAGACATTCTTAATGCAGAACTGGAAACCACTATTGAGACAATGAGATCGCGAGGGAAGAGGAAGAATGAGAAGAAGAAGCTAACTCCTTCGCTACTCGCGGTACAAGGACGCGCTGCACACGCGTTGAAGATGGCTTCATGAACCAAAAGGGTTTCCTAGATAAAAAGCATGCAGTTAGGTTTAAGCGTATTGCATTGGTACCGTACATGTGGTCGTGGTGATTTAAATTGTAATTACGAATATATTTTTATTATATTGTTATTCCGTAATTGCGATAAACATAATATATTTAAAATTATAATTGTAATATTGATATAACAAGTGTTATTATAATAATTCTAGATATTGTAATAATTTAATAATGATATTAGACAATATTATTACCATTATATAGAACGTGTTATTATAATAACAAATCGTTAATTAAATCTCAAGAGGATTAAAAAAAGGGAAATCATTATGAATTTCTAATTCTCCGGCAGCCACCGGCTTAATCAATGCCGACCGTCTAATGCCGACCGGCTTAAGCAATAAAAACACGAATTTCTAAAGAAATAAAATCTAATTTAAAATTAAAAACTTGTAAAAAATGAGAGCAATAAAAAAGTGATAAAAACATAATATTTCAACTTAAAATGTGTTTTTTAATAATATTTTAAATCACGTTTATTTACGTCGTATTTTAATCACATAATTAAAATAATAAAAAAAGACTGGGTCCCACTAAGAGAAAATACTGTTTTCTGTTTATGGCAAACTGTTCAGCTGGTCCCCTGCCTACTTGTTTTCTCGGTCTTAAAACAAATGATAGTCTTTAAAAGCGTAAATTATAAAAATCATCACTAAATATTTAGGGTGCTTTAACTTTGGTCACCAAAATAAATAAATAAAAACTTTAATTAGAGTTATTATTATTAAGAAAAAATTTCATTTTGATTATGTCATTAAATCATTAATGATAATTGACATGACACATCATTAAATAAGTACATCAACTTTATCGTTAAATTTTTAATATGCAATTACTAAAATAAAAGAAATTAACATTATTATGCCTTTGTAAAAGAAAAGTATTAGGTAGCTAAATTAGAAAAAAAAACAATAGGTTAGTGACTATTGATTTACTTTACCCTAATAATGAGTTTGATTCTAAATTTACTTATACTTGGAAAAGACCTACTCATTATGGGAATTCCTTTAATTTGTCCGAGTGATCTAATTAATTTTTTTGAATCAATTAATAATAAATATATATATTATATAAACACAACTACTTAAATTCAATATTTTTAAAATAATAATATTTTATTTATACACATAATGAAAATTGAATACTATATGTATATTTTTTATTGACTTAATTGAATAGTAGACCCTTAAAGTATACTCCTTTTTAAGTTATTACTTTTTTGTTCAAACTAAATACGCACAATATAAATTTATAAAATAAGTAGGATATATACGTTAAATTTGTTGTTAAGATGAAAATGACATAATGTGACACTATCAAAAAGTAGGGGTGTTCAGATCCAATCTGATCCAAACAAAAAATCGAAAATCAATCCAAAAAATCGATAATCGAAAAAATCGAAACTGATTTAATGTGTTTGTTTTTTTAAATCGATTGGTTCGGTTCGGTTTCGGTTTTAAAATCCGGAACCGATCCAAACCGAGCTAAACCAATGAAATGGAATATTGAATTTACGAGCTTGAAACAAACCCATCAAAAGCCCCACAAAATCTCACAAAATCCATATATAAATACAAATTCCATATACAAATATAAATTCAGCTTTCCTCGACACACACGTAACAATTTTGCCCCAGATTCTAGTCATCGATGGCAATGAAAAAAATGGTGCAGTAAATGATAATAGCAAAGAAGGATAGTATAGTCTTTTGGTATTTCCTCAGTTCTGAGGTAGAGAGAAAATTGTAGGGCAAAACTTAGAAAATATGTCGTTTTACTTTTATGGGTGACTTATTGACGAGAAACTGATTTGTTTCTTGATTTGTTAAAATATATATTCTCTTTGTAAGCTTCATAAGTTTGCATTTGTTAAAATATATATATTCTCTTTGTTTTACATATGCTTTTTTTTAATGAAAAAATTTCAAATTATTTTGAAAATTTAGAATAAAAAAACCGCACAAATCCAAAAACTGCACAAATCCAAATCGAATCAAGCAGCACTTAATTGGATCGGATTGGATTTTTTAGAAACATCCAAACCAATCCAAATCGCAAACATTTATACATTCGGATCGAATAAATTTTTTAGCTAAAAACTGATCCAAACCACAAACACCCTATCAAAAAGTGACACGTGATAACCTTTTAAAAATTATAAATTATTAAAAATATAATAAATAAGTTGTACACAAATTAAAAGATCTTAGTGGTTAAGGAACTTATTATCTCTTGGGGTATCATGTTTAAGTCTCGATATATCAAAAGTAAGAGCGTCTATTGTCATATAATTAAGAGTTTTTGAACATACACTACTTTGTATACGTCATAAAATTAAGTGCATTAAGAAAGAGTAACATCTTAACGTAATCACGTTAACATTGTAGACTTGTAGTCAGGGGCAGAGCTCTGTTGGGGCCTAAAGGGGTCCCGACCCTTGTTAAAAGTTTAGTATATTTGATATAATTTTGGTCTAATAATATTTTGGTTCATATAAAAATAAATATTTAAATTAAAAATATAAAAAATTATTCAATATCTAATCGAGTATGGGTCGAATTAAAGAATGATAACCTCGTGTTCTCAAATTTTTGGTTCAGTATCAATTTAAGTCATTGTAATTTTAAATATTAGACAATTTAGGTGTTGTGTTATGAAAATTGAGTTTTTTTATATTATATTTAAAATAGAGTGAATATTGTAACACCACAACCCGTACCCGACCCGAATACGAGTCCGAGATGTCACATTAACTTTAAAAAATGATTTCATTTCAAAATAATTGAGCATTTTAATTTATATTAAGAAAATACGACCATATATGGTTCACTTGTGCTGGTTATAAAATTTTGAGTTCAAACATACGTATTTGTGAACAGTAAAAATACTGTATGAATAGTGACAAGTGAACAGTGAATAGTACGATAAACAGTGGGGGTATCGATTCCCTGTAGCAGGGAATCGGTTCCCCTCTAAGATACTGGAAAATTTTGTTCAAACTCGCGGTTACTGTTCATGCTACAGTAACTGCTACAGAAATTTCCGAAAATTACATATTAACCTTTCATCACTATAAAATTCCCATCTATGCTTCCAAATTTATTTAACAAAATAAATTAAATATTATTAATTACATATACTCATTAAAACATTACAAAACTCATTCGTATGACTTTTCAAAACCGATTAAAACTTATCAGATTTAATCATTTATTTACATGCCAACCACTATCGTTATTACAAAATACACATTATACATTTCTTTTCTGATCTGATCTATGGAAAGGAGAAACTGACCTGTCTTGAGTAACTTTTATCAACCGTCATCTTCTCATAACCTACGCGTGAAACAATCACACGCTAAGTCGTTGACTTAGTGAGGCATATAAAATATATAAGAAAACCATATAACATTTCATATAATAAAATGCATACATATTCATATACCATCATCATCATCATAATCTCTATTTATCATATGATTTTGTACT